TCGGGGGGGGGGGTCTCCGTGCTGCATGCCACACACGCAAGGCATCTATGTCTTTGTCTGTCTGTCTGTGTGTGTGTGTGTGTGTGTGTGTGTGTGCGTCTTTGCATTGCAGCTGGTGGGAAATTGCCTGCAGCTTCTTTCCCTCTCTTCAACTGTCGCTGTTGTTGTTGGCCCAGCGTGAGGGGAACGGGTGGTGAAAGAGTAAGGAGAAGACGCAGTACCGAAAGGGGGGGCACGTCCGGCGGGAGAAAAGAGGGTGCTGCCGGTGTTTTCCACCCCTTCCTGCAGCAGGCAGGGGCAAAGGTAAGCACTCTGCCCACACACCCCACTGTATAGAGAAAGGCGTAATCCACAAGTAGAGAGGGAGAGCAGCGCGGGGGTGGGGGGGCTGTTGCGTTCGAAGATGGGCTGCTGCTGCTCCCGCAAGACAGCGTCGGTCGCGAAGAGTGACCTCACGGACACGTTGGCCAACGAAAGAGCGGAACACGATTGCCCCCTGAAGATCGAATCGTTGCAGAAGAAAGAGAAGCAAAAGAATAATGCAAAATCGTTATTAGTAGTACAAACGGCGGCGCCGACACTGGCAACATCAACGACACTCGAAATCCCTGCGGATGACGCCGCGCGGCCTTTAACCGGGGATGGCGAGAATGAGATGACGGATTCCATCACATGTTCCTCAACAACAATTGATGACGTCAGCGCCGACCACAGCGCATTCCACCGCCGCATCGAGACGACCACGTCGAGCACCTGGCCCGATGTGAGCATGCCCACCGTTAGCGCTCGCCACGACCACCCGCGGACGGTGTCGGAGCTGGAGAGCGAGGATGACTTTTCGCCGGTGGAGCGCAGCACCTCTACGCTGCAGGAGCGCCGCATGTCGTTCCTCGCCCGCGAGCGCGAGCGGTCAATGCTGCGGGAGGTCATGTCGACGGAGAATGAGAAGCGGTACGCCATTGTGGAGTTCTTTGGCAACGCGCGCCGCACCATCGCTATTCGTCACTACAAGGGAATGCTGGCCATTGAACGGCGTGGGATGCTTATAGAGTACTTTGTAGAGCGCTTTGCGCTGCTTCTGTGCGTGACGGAGGCGCAGGAGACCATCTTGCGCCGCCTGATTGAATTTGAGTGTCAGGCGGAGCTACTTCGGCGCATGCAGCATCAGCGCGCGGAAAGGCAGCGGCGCAGCTGCAGTACCAACAGCTCCGTTGCTGGTGGTAGCATGGCTTCTGGTGCTGCAGAGTTGGCCACTACCGAGCCGTCACTGGGAACTGAAGGCGAGGCTCCCGCAGCTGTGAAGGTGGTGTCCACACGCGCCATGTCGGCACCAAGTGTGTTTCTGCGGAAGCAAATGCAGCAGCGTCGCATCATGGCGCAGTCGCGATCGCCCTCACCGTCGCCGCTGCGGCGTCGGCTGCTGAGCGGACGGGGGACCACGACACGGCAGGTGGTAGTAGCGCAGCAGCAGATGTTGCATACAGAGGCCTCTAAGCGTATGCAGCTGGAGGAGGAGGAGATAATGGAGTGGCAACATACGCAGCAGTCTTTAGTGCACGGAGTCGATGCGGCGCATGTTGAGGTATGGGAAAGGCCGGCGCGGCGTATGTCACTCGTTCGTTCAGCTGCAGTGGAAGGTGCGCCGTATTGAGCGCAGTGGCTTTGTGTGTGTGGCCGTCATAGCAGCGCGTTGCGTATCTGTGTTTGAAGGGGGCGGGTGCGTGGGTTCGGATTTGGGTGTGAGTGCAAAAGTGTAATAGTGAGTATATCTATATATATATATATATATA